ATTATCTAATCATTTGAACTTATCTTATCATCAAATCACAATTATTCAAAAAACTTTTTATGGTTGTGCTATAGCTGCTATAGCTTTCTGAGATTATCAGGTATAGTAGCTGGGTTCTTTGGTTTGTGTATTTGCTTTAGGCCATCAGTAGGATGGGCTCATTTGTACCTTTTTGAACATTGAGGCGCGGCCTCTCGACTAGTACTTACTTCTTCTTTTGAATGTATATATATATCGTTTTGAAAAAAAAAATGCTTAGTTATGCTTCTAAACTCTATTCATAATGGAAATTATGCAGGATGGAAATTGCTTCCTCCTGCAACGGTGGTTGCGGTAGGGCTATCCGACGGCTTCGGTTGTGTGGAGTGGGAGGCCGTCTATTCGCGGCTGGCTGCAGATAGGCTTGGGAGCCATAGAAGAGTGAGTGGAAGACGGTGAGTCATGGCGGTCGGACACGAAAGCTCCAGTCACGGCCATTGGCGGACGCCGGTTTTTTTACCGGGTTGCGATGGTCAGAACGACGGCAAAAAATGAAGGATTCAATTGTCTTATATTCAGTGGTCGGAAAATTCTAGTCCACTAAAGAAAACCCCCTTATCTCTCCCACAACTGAAGAATCCCATAGAGAAGATTTAACACCACAACAAAGACACACAGTCACAACACAAACACATAAAGAGACAAAAATAGGGATATGAATATATGAAACTCAAAATATTTATTTGTATATGTTCTGATTTCTTTGCATCGCTTGTTTAAAAACAGGAGATAAAGGGCATGCTTTAAAATCCGTATCAGACGCTTTAACAAAAATGATGATTTTTTATTTCATTTTAATTTATTTTTTAATTTTTTTGTAGCCCGCCATTGTATCCTATCCGGAAGCTTATTAACTAGTTAGCTCAGCTGAAGATTAAATTAAGAGTATCATGTTCAAGAATCCACATGATTCCTCTTACCAAAATCACAATGTGCGCCAACATAAGAAACATTAAAACCTTGGCAAATTACAGAATTCTCATAATATAAAAGAAAATAAACACACACACATCCACCACACACACGCACACACAAGAATGCTTGATATCGGCAAGTTAGGAAGACCCCAAACGCCATTTCTCGTAAGCCACTTTCAAATCCTTGGCGTATTTGGAGACAAACTGATTCACAAACTCGTCCTCCGTCATCAACACCACCGTAACAAAACTCGGATGCCTCTTCAGAACTCCCCTCGACTTCACCAACTCCATCACTCTAAACCTCGGCACCATCCTCCTCTCCAAACTCAACTTCAAAAGAAAAGGAGACCCCACCAGCAGCGACCTGTTAAACCCGAGAGTATTGATGAAGAAGTCCACCGAACGCCTCAGCTTGTCTTCAGATGCCTTGAAAACCACGGGCGCCTTCACAAACATCAAACTACACTCCTCCTTTCTAAATCCAAGCTCTTCAAACAGCCCAAACTTTCTGCTAATAGTCTCTGGGCTATTGCTGTAGAGTGCATGAACACCGTAGACCAGCATTCTTGAGCCCATTTGGAAGCCCATCTCGACAGCCTGCGAGACGAGTCCTTTAAGCTCAGGCTCCCGCATGGAGAACAACCTAAGCTCAGTTTTCAGAAGCATGATCAGTTGAGAGCCAACTATCCCACAGCTCTTCAGGTAGGCTATGTTGGACTCCAGTCTCGCCTCATTCCCAATGTCCCAGCCATACCTTGAGAGTATGTGGAAAAGGAGAAGGTTAATTTCGTCATCTGTACTTTCTCCCCGGTAGCACTCAAGGACTCTCTTGATGACCCCGATGCTCGGTTTTAACTTTTTGTCGAGGCTGCTGGTTAGGAGTTTTGGGTTCTTGGAGATTAGGATGGGCAGGTGGGGTCCACGCAGGCCCAGTTCTTGACAGAAGTCGACTTTGGGCTTGAGGATCTTGTCAACATCTGCGTATAAGACACGTGGTTCGCGTCTGACTGCTGACTGCATATGGGCGGTGGAGAGGCCAAGGGATTTGAAGTAGCGGATGACCAATTCGGGCTTTTGGGTGGATTCACGCGGGAACCGGCTGGAAATAGTGGCCGCTTTGTGGTGGGGGAATTCAAGGGATTTCATGAGGAAGTCGGTTAGAAGAGGATTTTTGGAGCTTAGGTCTGGGGAGGTTGAGGTGCTGTGAGCCCTTTTTTGGTAGGTTACGAGGAAATTGGTGACGGAATAAAGAAGCGAATCCACGCGAGGGTCCTGCAGCATGGAAGTTCGTACGAGGAGGGAGTGGACTTGGTGAGGTGACTTAGATTTTACCATCATCATCATCACTTCTTGAAAAGTGTGAGTAGAAGGGGGAAGAGGTATGATTGATTACAACTTGTAAAGAGGATCACTGGTTACTTCGTTAACCTGCACCACTGAGAAAACAACAACAATACAGATAAATTCGGCTCTCACAGCTTTGATTAATACCAATACAACCAAACAAACAAAATATCAAACACGTTGTGGGCACTACCAACAAGGGACCCTTGGAATAGCCAAATAAACGCTATAAGCTTAAACTGCACTTCTTGAGTTTTAAGATTCTTGCTATGTGCAGAACCTCCTCACAAGACTCCCGAGCACAGGGTGTTAATAGCTGACATGCATAAAGACGCAAATTCTCATCTTTCATATAAAAAGAGGAGAACAAAGAACAGAAAACATCGACGCGCAGATTAAGAAGCGCGCAGTGGATTTCCATTCACTCGAATCATTTCAAGAACATAACCAAGGATTGTGGAGCTACGAGATGGAGTATTTACCTTGAATGTAGGAGAATTAACTACGAAAAGGAAGTTTGAAACTCGAGGATGCCTTTTTACATTTACAGCACGAGGACAAGTCAATTTAGGGGTTGTTTGGTTAGGGGAAATAGAGGGGGAAGGTAGACATGGTCCCGGGCCGAACCGGCCCGTGAATCGGTCCCGGCCCGGCCCGTGAATCGGGTTCCTAAGAGTCGGTTCTTTCAACCAGACTTTTAGAGTTGCGGTTGGTCCCAGTCCTTTTTTTTTTTGTCTTGTCAATTCGGGTCGGGCTGCGGGTTGGACGACAGGCCACAGTGTTATTTTTTTTAAGGATCGTATTGGCCCGGAACTATCCGAAACCCGCCGAGTCGGTGAACCGACGGTTCAGGGCCGGTTCTATGAAGCGGCCCATATAAATGGGCAGACCGATCACGGGCCATGAGATTGAGGTTCACCGACCTGATGGGCCGGGCTGGGCCGCGACCATTGGCCACGTCTAGGGGAGGGAAGAAGAGAGGGTTTGATTTTTATTTTTATATTTCTCTCTATTTGATTGATAACTTAGGAGGGGGGAGAAATTTTAAGCAAAAATTTCTCTCCTCCATCAATTTTGCCCCTTCCAAAAGTGGAAAAATTTGGAAGTGAGAAAAAAAAATTTAAAAATAAAATTACCTTTTTGTTCTTACGAGAATTATTTTATTTTCGTTCTTAATCATTAAGGGTATAACTGTTAATTTTACAATATTATCTCTCCCTTTCAGTTTCCAATCAAACAAAGTTTATCATTTTTCATCTACTCCCCTCCTACAAAATCTCTCAAAATAAGGTCTCAAGACGATCACGTATCGAGTGAAAATTCATCGAGAACCGACATCTTCGCCAATTGACCGGTATCTCATGTCGGTTATGACATGTCGGTTACTACATGTCGGATACGACATATCGGTTATAACTACACAAGCCGATATCTATGACTCGCCAAACCGACACCATAAGGTGGTGCCAACTTAGCACAACTCATCATTACGCCTGGCCAAGTGGCATGCTCTTAGGATGGATGGCAATTAGCCGCCGTTGACTATTCCTATGTAATGATTACGTTTCAGATAAATGTTGTAAAGAAATATAAGAGAAAAATGGAGGGATTCTCTAACGGGAGACAGAAAAAAATACACCACGATATTCACCAAAAAAAATCGATCCTCATTGAGCTTTTCATGCAATTTGTGTTTATCTATTTTAAACATACAATAGATCTGCGATTATCATATAGTTGTTAATTCCCATTTGACAAAAGTTTGGCGCTAGAGGAAGGGCCTCATCGTGTTTTGTGGTTAACTTTCGCTGTTGTAGCCGTTTTCGCACTTGAATTGACCATGTCGCAATCTGGTCGAGATCATACAACCCATCTTGATCAGAGTCAATCGACTAATCATTCCTCCCGGCGTTCAATACCACCTCCTCCGGTCACGAATATCACGAATTTTCTTCAAAACCCGGAGTTTCTTCAAGGATTAACTTCTCGGATAGCTCGAGCCATGCCTAGACATTCGAACATTGTACCAGTATCAACGCCGTTTCCTACGAACCCAACGGAACCTCCAAATCATAGTCATCATGATCCTGAAACACACGCAGCGACATCACATGCTACGTCACAACCACACCATACTTCTCTACGTCGAGAAGAGTTAACACGAATAACTGCGAATCCAGTCGTGAACAACCAGGCTGCGGAGCAGCCTCCCGTTCAAGAGATGACTGCCGAAAGTCACTCTGCTCATCGTCAAAGGATTCCATCGCGCCCAAGACCTACCTCACTAGTACCTCGTGATCGTGAAGATTTACGACGTCAGATCGAATGGAATCGCATGTCAAGACATAGTGCGGAAGAAATCGAGGTTCTCCGTAAACGATTGGCTGAACTTGAGACTCGACAGAGATCACAAGAAGACTCTCCCCGACATGTCTCGATGTCGGGAAACGTTATTATTGAAGCCGACTCGCCTTTAGCCCCAGAACTCACTGCCGAGGCGCTCCCTGCTAAAGTAAAAATCCCATAAATCGGCATGTATGATGGAACATCGGACCCTGATGCACACTTAGGTAATTATACGTCGTGGATGGATTTGCATGGAGCCTCGGATGCTTTGAGATGTCGGATGTTTTCCCTTACACTGGGGCCACGGGCGCAAAAATGGTATTACACTCTTCCACCTCATTCAATTTGGAAGTGGCAACAGTTGCGCGCAGCTTTTCGATCGCATTTTATCGGAGCCCAAGTTTGTCTGATCCCAAAAGAATCGATCACTAATATTGTGCAAAAGGACGATGAAACTGTTAAGGACTACGTATCTCGGTTCAACGACTGAATTCAGAATATGGAGCCCTGTCACCCTGAGACCCTGTTAGTAACCGCAATCGCCGGACTGAAGCCTAAATCGATGTTTCGTTGGACCTTATGCCAAAACAAACCGGCTACGTTTCAAGAATTCCTTGTACGAGCTCAACAATTCATTATAGCCGAGGAATCAATGTCGGTTCCCAGTTTCGACTTCTCGGCGAAAGAAAATAAAACTGAACCGGATGCCAAAAAGAAGAATAAAAAGAATTTCAGGAAAGCGCGATATCGTAATTATTCAAAAGGATATGAGGATACTCCGGAATCCCGTGCTGTCCGAGACCAATACGCCGCCAACGTGAGGACGGGCTATCAGACCGTTTATTCGGCCGAAGCAGCTACAATTTTCGAGGAACTGAAAGGAAAAGGAATTATTCCCGATCCAAGACCAATAAGGACTTCTGAAGACAAGTTGGACAAATCTCGATATTGTGCGTATCATAAATCTCCGGGACACAATACCGATGAGTGCTTAGGTCTCTTGTCGGCTCTTTTACGTTTGATCGGTCAGCCTCAACTTCAAAAGTTCAGAAATTTTGACAATCGCAAGAAAGGAAGGCCCACAGATCTTTCTGATGAGGAGGAAGATGATAATCGGCCCGCCAACCCGAAAAGAGCCCTTGCAAACGATAAGGAGGTTTTCACATTTTCTACACTTGTCGGAACTTTGACCGATAACTGCAAAAAACCCAGGACACCTGATACCTCAGACTCTTCACGTTGCATACCTCGAATCAATTCTAATAATAAACAGCTGGATACTTCTCGACGGAAAGCTAAAGCCTACGCCAGGGAGGCACAAAATGCCGAGAAACGAGTCATGAATGTTGATCTTCGAGATACCATTAATAAGCGGAATTGTTCTATCACATTCAGTATCGAAGATGCCAACTTATTTGCTCATCCTCATTCCGACGCCCTTATTATCACCGCTCCGATTAGAGGGATCCCAGTTCACTGAATTTTGGTCGATACAGGAGCTTATTCAAGTATTTTGATGTTCCGCACTTTCAAGAAATTAGGTTTGGACCCGGCAGATATTAGACCTTGCAACGATCAAATTCAAGGTTTCAATGGAAGCATCTCTTGCCCTGTCGGCGAAATATTACTCCTTATTCGATTCGGCGGCTTTGGACCAAAATCCAAGATTATTATGGAGAATTTCAAAGTCTTGGATGTCCAGAATGAATATAATGCCGTTATAAGGCGAACTGCACTTTACAAGCTCCGTGCTGCTGTGTCAATTTTTCATTATGCCCTGAAGTTCCCAACCATTGAAGGAGAAGGCACTCATTACGGAGATCAACGAGAAGCCCGATGTCTCACGTTGCTCTCAACCTCGCGTAGCCTTCATATGATTGAAGAGCGGGATACTAATAACTCTATTGAGTTGCAAAATCCAACTCCTCCTGATGCACAGAGGACTAGTCAAGTCGCTTCAGATACCGACGTCCCTCTTCTTGCAGATATCGATGTCCCTACAACGTCAGATTTACCTGAAACGCCAGCCCTTCATCAAGAACAATCTTTTCATGAGAAAGGCGTAGGATTACTTGAAGATATGGATCCACGGATGCAATTCAAAGATAAGAGTCATCATGCCCGAGCGGAACCGGTCGAAGACATTGAAACTATTTACGTGGATGGATTAACGCGGGAAAAAGCACTGCGCATTGGAGCTAACCTTCAAGAACCCATACGTTCGGGTTTAATCCAATTTCTTCAGTCAAATTCTGATGTATTCTCTTGGAAGCACGAAGACATGAAAGGAATAGATCCGCAGAAAGCATGTCATCGTTTAAATTTGGATAAGACCATTAAGCCTGTCATACACAAACGCCAAAAATTCGGTCCCGATCGCCAGAAGGCTCTTGAAGAGGAAGTGAACAAGCTCATAGACAATAAGTTCGTCAAAGAAGCCAAGTACCCGACGTGGATATCAAATCCTGTCTTGGTTAAAAATGCTACCGGTCTTTGGCGTCTGTGCATTGATTTTTCAGATTTGAATCAAGCATGCCCGAAAGATAGCTATCCAATTCTGCATATTGATTACATGGTAGACGTTACATCGGGACATCAACTCATGAGCTTTTTGGACGCCTATTCCGGTTACAATCAAATTCCCATGCACCCTGATGATGCTGAACATACATCGTTTTACTCGGCCCGAGGTCTTTATTGCTATGTCATGATGACTTTTGGATTGAAGAATGCTGGGGCCACATACCAAAGGTTGGTCAATAAGATGTTTGCTCGTTTGATCGGTCGTACAATGGAAGTTTACGTAGATGACATGTTGGTAAAATCGGAACAAGCCTCTTATCACATCGCTCATCTTTCTGAAGTCTTTGACATTCTCTGAGAATATTCCATGGTACTTAATCCTAAGAAGTGCACTTTTGGAGTCGGATCAGGGAAATTTTTAGGATACATGGTGAGTCAGAGAGGAATTGAAGCTAATACTGCTAAGATCTAAGCTATACTTGAATTGGCTCCCCCGACATCTATCAAAGGTGTCCAAGCTTTAACTGGTCGACTAGCAGCTCTTAACCGATTCATTTCAAAGTCGACGGATCATTGTAAGCCGTTCTTTGACGCTATCAAAAAGAAGAAGCCGTTCGAATGGAACGTGGAATGCCAGAATGCTTTTGACAATATTAAAGAAGTTCTTTCACGGTTACCGACGATGCAGAAACCTCTTCCTAAAGAGCCCTTGTATTTGTACCTGGGTGTAAGTGACGTTGCTGTTAGTGCCGTTCTTATACGACAAGATAGACTTCAGCAGTTCCCGATATATTACGTTAGCAAAGCCTTACATGATGCTAAATTGCGATATTCGTACATGGAGAAGTTAGCCTTTGCTCTGATCATTGCTGCACGAAAGCTGTGCCCATATTTCTTGGAACATTCTGTCATTGTGTATACATCATATCCTCTCCGACAAGTCCTACACCGACCTGACACGTCGGGGAGAATGGTTAAATGGGCGATAGAATTGGGACAGTTTGACATTCAGTACCGACCACGAACTGCCATCAAAGCTCAAGTATTATCCGACTTCATAGCGGAGTTTACTCCGTCTGTTAGCACATCAATTCAGAATCCGACATGGACCCTCTACATCGATGGATCATCCACTGCTATACGAGCTGGAGGAGGAATCGTTTTAGTTAGTCCTGATCAACAAGTGTTTTGTTACTCTGTAGCATTCACTTTCCCGGCCACCAACAATGAAGCTGAATATGAAGCCCTATTATCAGGTCTACATTTTGCCGAATCTATGAATGTTTCCTTTCTCCGAATACTTTCTGACTCTCAGCTACTAGTCAGCCATATTAATGGCACTTACGAATTTAAGGAACCACGGTTGTTGCCTTATTTTGATCTCGTCAAGAAGAAGCTATCACGGTTCAAAATGACGATAGAACATATACCTCGGTCATCTAATATCCAAGCAGATGCTCTTTCACGTTTGGCCTCTTTAACCGATTTGAACAATGTCGAGTTTTTGCAAATTACTCAACAGACGACTTCCTCAACGGTCTCTACCGACGTCGTCATGATTGACGCTGCCTCACCAATCCCGGATCCGACATGGATGGATCCAGTCATCAACTACCTTTAAACTGGAGCCGTGCCTGAAGACCCAAAGGAAGATCGCGCCCTTCGCATTTGTGCTGCTCATTTCAAAATCGATCAAGAAACTTTATATAAGCGTGGATATTCTACTCCATTGCTCAAGTGCTTGTCGGAAATTGATGCCCGACGTGTTCTTCAAGAAGTACATGAAGGAGTCTGCGGTACCCATCAAGGAGCGCAAGCTTTGTCCCACAAGATTCTCCGACAAGGCTACTATTGGCCAACTATCAGGAAGGATATCGCAGATTGGGTGCGGAGATGTCACAAGTGTCAGATATACGCTCCCAACGTTAATAAACATCCAGAACTCCTCAAGTCAATATATAGCCCGTGGCCGTTCGCAAAATGGGGGATTGATTTAATTGGCCCACTTCTGACAGCAAAAGGAGGTGTTCGGTTTGCAATACTAGCTGTCGATTACTTCACTAAATGGGTTGAGGCCGAACCCCTCGCAACCATCACTGAACAAAAGATGATCGATTTTGTTTGGAAGTCAATCGTCTATCGTTTTGGAATACCGAACGCCATCATAACCGACAATGGTCGTCAGTTCGAAGGGAAACGATTTGAAGGCTTTTGTGAAGACTATGGTATCAAGCACTTCTTCTCGTCACCTTACCATCCACAAGCTAATGGACAGATAGAAGCTGTAAATAAGATTATCAAGAATGGTCTAAAAACTCGACTTGAGACTGCAAAGGGATCGTGGCCTAATGAATTACCCCCATGTCCTCTAGGCTTACCGGACAACGATGCGAAATTCAACTGGGAAAACTCCATTTTTATTAGCGTACGGGGCTGAAGCTATGATACCGGTTGAACTTACCTCTCCAACATATCGGATTACTCATTTCTCTGAAGAAACCAACTCAGCAAACCTGAAAGCCAATCTCGATTTGGTCGATGAATTACGGGCTGATACTGAAATTTGAAAT